TTTTAGAAACAGCTTCCGACGTGGTAAGGGCCTATGAGAGAGACAAGAAAGGTAAAGGTCCTACCTTTGACTGGAGTTTTCTCGAGGACCTCGAATTTAGGCCGGCGGGAGTGAAACCGATTCCATCTGCAGTAACTGATGCCCGTTCCGGGATTCGATCCCGAACCCTTACCTTCTCGCGTACAGTATTTTCACGAGTTTGAACCGGTGACCTGCATCGTAGGAGGCGTAGTAGCAGTCGTAGGTCTTAGCTGTAGGAGGCTGCAAGGGTCAAAGTCGTAACTCCTGTCGCTCCGAAAGGCCAAAGTCTAGGACCTTCCGGAAGCAGAGAACCCCACGTTTTAGGCAGAGCAAGTGGTCAAGTGGCGAGAAAAACAGCAGTCGTGAGACAAGTGTCGACTTGGTCATAGTGCACCCCAGTGCGATAGCAGTAAGTTGTCGGTAAGATAGCAGTACATCGGTCAGTCCCAGTTCCAGTCCAGCAAGTACCACACGGGACTGTATGCACCGTGGGCCCGGGGACAAGGGGCAGACCAAGCAGTTACAGAAGTATAAATCAAGATGCAGCGTCAAGCCATTCATTCAATTGCTGCGTAAGCTATGCTGAAACGCTGCCAGAGCGGTTGTGCGTAGGAGCCCTGCAGCTGCGCCTGAAGACGAAGAGGGCGGAAGGGAGAGTTAGTAGTGATAGGCAGCCATAGCCTCTTAGGTGTTAGGCAGGTGTGTGTGTATGTGTGATGAGTTAGAGACATGCGTGTGGTGTATTCAGGGTGATCCTAGTGTTGTGTGTGTGAGAGACGAGTTGTTGTGAGTTGGGCGCTGGTGCGCCATAGCATGCAGAGCCGAGTTCGAATATGAATTGAGTTCGTTAATGGGCGCTGGTGCGCCATAGCATGCAGAGCCGAGTTCGAATCTGAATTGAGTTCGTTACCTCCATATCTTCAGAGCTTTGATTGGGCGCACTGCGCCAGTGTACTTTGCGATCTGGTTGCACGCATGCGAATAACGAAGTTGAGTGAGTCTGATTGCACTTACAAGATTGATGTTTATGTGAGGACTGATGCATTGTCTGTTTTCGTGCTTGAGGGTGATTGCTCAGTGGCTTGGTGCCATATCACCAGTTGGTTATTTTGATTACCTTGTGGATGTGGCAGTCTGATATATGTGAGGTAGATCCATGCATGTGGCTGGTGGGCTCACATTCTTAGTGCTTGGTTCAGTTATCTCGTCATTTCATTCAAGAGATGGTTCATGTAGCACGTTGCAATTCATCGTGATTGCTCCATCCAACCCTGATTCCTCTGCATGTCCAGATAGTGACAAAATCAACCGCTTGATTGGGATTGCAGGTCCTGGATTGTTACTAGGGCATTAGGTGATGTTGCTATGGGGAAGCAACGCCATGTTCCGTACCGGAACTCACGATTGACATATCTTCTTCAGGTGAGCGGTCATCCCATGAGATTAATGCTTCTTTCATGCCCACTAAGCCTTTTTTTGGGAGATTACACCAGCCACAACTGGAATTGGCAAGAATCCGTGTGTGATTACTTTCTGTGTTGTTGGTTTGCCCCTCTGTTGATGCCCGATGTTTTTTGTTTAACTGAAGCGAGAATATCTTCATGTCTTTTGAGTCAGGCTTTCTTCTGGCTTTGTTTCTTTGCTTTCTTCCTGCTCAGATTGAATGTGATTGCCGGCTTCATCTGTACCGGTGTAATAATTCATTACCTTTTGTATTATGTCTGTCATGTACTGAATTTGGGTGACTTAGGACTCGCTTGGAGGAAATGCAAAAACCGTGATCGTGGCAAATGTGAGCCCATCCAAGAGGTAAGTAGAAGGTTGGGTCTTACTCCCTACTCCTTAGCTGCACATGCCGAAGTGACTCAACATAGCCCTTCCCTACAAACTGCACAATACTGCATGTAACATAAATCAGGTAGGAAAACTACGTGAGATGTCATTTTTACCTTGCATGAGGGTGTTGTCTCATTTGTGAGTCAATCTCCTTCAACGGGAAGATTATCATGGCCACAATACTCATGGCATCATCATCTCAGAAAGATGATGAGAATGATCATCATCAGCATGATGATCATTCTCATCATCTTTCTGAGATGATTATGCCAGGAGTATTGTGGCCATGATAATTTTCCCGTTACTCGTGATTTTGTCACTGCTATCATCCTCCACATCAGCATATTGTGTCATGTCAACATCATAGGCACTGTGATCCTCTTGTAATCATAGACTTGTGAACATCACCTTGACTGATGCTCCATCATTATCTAAATCATCATTAATTTTGGCATCATCAGGGTTGCCAGCCCGTACGTATGGAGGCCCCCGTGCCAACCTCCGTAGGTACGGGTGTTCGGAGTGCCGTTCGGGGCCCGAACCTGAAGGGGTTCGACCCCCGCCAAAAAAATATTTTTATGCCTAAAAATAAGTTCTTTTTTCTGATTGTTTTTTTGGGAGTTCTTTATGACCTAAGGTACATGCCCATAAAATTTGAAGTCGTTTTGCTAAGCCAAAACAAAATGAAAAATCGCCAAAGACGGTGGTGTCAAAATGAGCTCACCCACTCATGTTTTTGCTTTTTACTGTTCGTTTTCACTTTATTGGGCCACCTAAACAATTAATCTAGAACATAACAATAAAGCTTATCAGCCGCGGGCCGATTCTTGCATCTGCGATGGTCCACGTTAGTGTTTTTGCATCTCGAAACGTGAGACGTCCGATGTAAAATTCTTATGCGCGATCGTTTGCATCACGAAGCGTGAGACATCCGATGTAAAGTTCTGATGCGCCATCCGCGACGCGCCTGACACGTGAAATCTACGGTGTGGTTTTGTTTTTGCTTTCGTTTTGTCTTTGAGCTCTCCTTTTTGTTTTATGCTTGCTTTTTGAAAAGAGGTCGGGCGTTCGAATCCTGTAAAGTTGCCTATAGTGGTGGCGATCGTTTGCATCTCGAAACGTGAGACGTCTGATGTAAAATTTTGACGCGCGATTTTTTTCATCACGAATCGTGAGACGTCCGATGTAAAGTTCTGATGCGCCTGACGCGGTGCAGCTGACGCGTTTTCGCGTTTGTTTTTTCTTGGGCGAGTCCTGTTTCGTTTCGTTTTTGCATTTTCTTTGTTTTTTTGTCGTCACTTGTGGAAAATAGGTCGGGCGCTCGAATCCTGACGCGCCTGAGAGTTTCGCGTTTGTTTTGGTTTTAGGTGAGTCGTGTTTTTTTTTTTTTTTTTTTTTTTTGTCGTTGCTTTTGAAAAAGAGGTCGGCCGTTCGAATCCTCGTATGTTGCCTATAGTGGTGGCGATCGCGTGCGTTTTTTTTTTTTTTTTTTTTGTTACCTTTCTAACTTTTAAAAGGGCGTTTACCCGATCAGACCCTGTAAAAGTAAAGCAGCGTGAAGGGGTATCTCGCCAGGACCCAGGAAACGAGAAAAGCAGGTAAAGAGTTACCTCTGGGTCGACAGTCACATCCAGAAAGTAAAGGAAAGACTTATGAAGGGTTGTCGTCAAACCCCTGGACGGAAGGGTGCGTCGCAGGGGCTGTGCAGTTTGTGTCTTTTCGTGTAAGCAAGTGTCTGTTCGAGCAGCAGAGTGTGTCTGTTCGTCAAGCTTGTGTCTGTCTACAGGTTGAGTTAACCTAAAGGTTCTAGTCCCGGTCTAAGTCCAGTGAAGAGTCCAGATCCAGACTTCTGATCCAAAAAGTAAGCCGCATGGCTGAAACAGCAGCGAGACCTCTTTGGGACAATACTGGGACACATGCAGTGCAGGGCCTGGGACAAAGGAGGCCAGAGTGCCAATGCAGATCCAGAATGAGGAGGCCAGCGCTATAAAGGAAGCTGCCCGCCTCACTTCGAATCAGATTTCCTCTGGCTCACTGGCGTGGAAGTGCTGGGCGCTTGTGCGCTGAATGGTGGGAGGAATAGCGCTGGAGCAGAAGCTGCGCTAGGTGACGAAATGCTGGGCGCTGGCGCAAGAGGGTGCAGCCATAGCTGCCCAGCCAGCTTGTATTAGTGGAGGAGAGGAGAGTTAGTAGTTCAGCTATGAGTAGCATTCAGAGTAGATCCTCAAGAGAGAGAAGAGAGTGTATACAGACATAGAGGGAGGAAGGAATCGAGACCAGAGAGAGAGTGTAAAGTTTGGCTATGGAGGCTACATACCTGAGTTGATGATGCTCCGCTGAGATGGCGCTGACGTGGTTCAGCTAATGAGATGAGTTTGACGAGGGGCTTGTGATGCGCTGTTGAGCGGTTGGACTCTGAACACTTTGTCACTCTCTGTAATCATAATTTTTGATAATATAAGCTGCGCATCTCGATTCTCTTCTCATCTTACCTTTGTCTCTGGAGTGAAGACTACTACTCAATGTGTGTATGCTGTGTACATTCTTGCGTGAGATGGTCAGTAGGACCCATGCACTTTTTTTTTATAAATAAAATTAAAAAAAGAAGTAAAAAAAAACAGTTTAAAGGGTAAAAAAAAAAAAAAAGTAAAAAAAAAAACTTAAAAAAAGGTAAAACCGTAAAAGAGTTTTTTTTAAATTTTTTATATACTTCTTTTTTTCTTTTCTTTTTTTTTTGTTCCGGTCGGTCTGTTGGTCGTTTTTTTTTGTTTGTTTGGTTTTTTTTTTTTTTACCCAGGGTGGCCGGCGTTCGGGACGGGCCGAACGCCCGAACCCGAACGCCCGAACGTACGGGACCCCTCTGGGATGCGTTCGGCCGTTCGGGCCGAACGCAGACCCAAAAAAAAAAAACAAAAAGCAACGGAGTTTTCAAAAAATTCTGAAAAAAATATATGTTATGCAGAAAAATAAACTAAACAACATTTGCCTGAGCACTACATCCAATTTCATTACCGAATTTGAATTAAAAATAAAAAACCGAAGATAAATACTATAATAAAAACAAGCTAAGCGCCCGCGGTGCGGGCGGTGCGGGCAATGCCCGCAAAAAAAACAAACAAAAAAGGGCGACGGCCTTGAGCTGACCGGCTCCAGACAATTCATTAGTAGTTGGTTCTACTTATAGAGGAGACTGTCGTTTTCCACCTTTGATCCATGCCCATCCAATTGTGCAGGGTTTGTTCCCCACCCGGGGACTGTTAAGTGTGTCTTCTTTTGTGATTAAACCACCAGTACCTTGGAGCTGCCCTTCCCGAACCGGTCCGCGGCCGATGCCCGAGGGTGTGGGAGGCCAACCCGAAGAAACGGAGCTGCCGTTGTGATTTGACCGGAAAAAAAAAAAAAAAAAGAAGTCGAGGACCGGGGTTTGGCACTGCGGCTAGGACAAGGCCGAATATGGCGGCGCTGCAATCTACTATGGGCCTCACTCCGCTACTCATGAAATTCGCAAAATGAGAACGAATTTTACGCAGGAACATGGAAAGATGAAATGATCCTCGACTTCTCAACTGCAAATTGCAGGAAACTTCACCCAACACTTCCGATTGCAAACACACACGAGAATCGGGTATCTGGACACGGTGAGCAAAGCACAAATTATGTCGCAACTTCGTTGAAACTATTATACAGCAGCGAGGAGAATTGTTCATGGTTCGGCCATGTATCACACACACACACAACACCAACCTCGACTCAACTGCACTCTGGTCTTAGTCACCTCTCCCTGTCTACCCCGATTGCTCTTGTCCCTCTCTAATCCTAACTATCCCTAACCCGAAGATCCCCGAGTCCGTGCTGTGAACAGATGCACAGAATTATTGTACGCAGATTGCACTTTGGGAAGGTGCTCATCCCAGTCAATCTGATCGGGTCTAATGTACATGCGAAGCACTTGCTGTACGATCTTATTCATCTGTTCTGTCTGTCCATTCGATTCCGGGTGTCGTCTGGAGGACATGCCTAGACGTGAACCGTACACTCGCATCAGCTGTTGCCAGTGCTCGCCCGGTCACTAACCATGCTAAGTGGCTGACCGTTGTCAACTACCCAGTTATTAAAGAACTTCTTAATCACTAAGTCGGTCCTAGCCTCAGCTGGCAGCGGAATGAAAACGGAATACTTACTGAACCGGTCTATGACAACCATAATCTGACTATTCCCATTTCTACTCTTGACTTTTGTGTCCATGAAGTCGATTGACACGGAGTCACCGGGTCCTGACGGAATAGGCAAGGGCCTCAATAGCCCAAGAGGTGCCTGCGTTGAACTCTTGTTCCGCTGGCATACTTGGCAGCCTTGCACATACGCAATGCAGTCGTGCTTCATGCCTGTCCAAGTATACGAACGCAGTAAACTTGCATGCCTGTCCAAGTATACGAACGCAGTAAACTTGCATAAGTTTTCTTCCAGCCGAAATGGCCTTCAGAATCGTGGCATTCTCCCAAGACTATACTTTTAATCGGTTCGCTGTTTGGTATACACAGTCGATCGAACCTGTCAGTCTTCTCGAATAGTAACCCGTCAGTGACTCGATAGTTCGGAACTTCATGGGGAACGGTCTGTACTTTGTGCATCAGCACGCTGTAAATGTGGTCTGCTGCATATGCAGTCTTGATCTGCTGTTGCAGCTCGGTGCCTACATCTAGGTAAGTCACGATGGCACCGAAAAAGTCAGACCTTCGACTTAACGCGTCAGCGACGACATTGTACTTCCCTTTGACTGGTCGCAGTTCAAAATCATATTGATCGATCTCGCCGGCCCACCGAGTCAATTTCGGAGTCATCCGGGCCTGCGTTTTCAACCAGCGTAGGGTCTCGTGATCGGAGTACACTTTGAAGTGTCTCCCCAGCAGATATTGTCGCCAGTGGTCCAAAGCTTCGCGAAGTGCGTAGAGCTCTCGCTCGTACGTGGAGGCAGCGACCTTGTCGCTGGGCAGTCTAGTGGACATGAACTCGACTGGCCTGTAACCGTGGCCATCATCCTGTTGGAGTACGACACCAATGCCATATTGACTGGCATCCGTTGTGACGATAAACGGCAGTGAAGGATCTGCAATTTTCAGAACCGGGTATTCGATCAGCGACTTCTTCAGACGCTTGAACGAAGCTGTGCAGTCCTTGTCCCAGCATCAAACTGTTTCCTTGCGTAACAGTTTGCGCAAAGGTGCAGCGATGGACGTGAAGTTACGGACGAACTTCCGATAGTAATTGGCTAACCCGAGGAACGATCGCAGTTCCGTTAACGTTCGGGGTGCAGGCCAATCACGTATTGCTGCAATTTTCGCGTCTTCCGGCTGAACTCCGTCTCCGTCTAACACATGTCCTAGATATAAGACTCGTCGTTTCGCCCACTCGCACTTCTTAGGATTCACCTTAAACTCTGCTGATCGCAGCTTCTCTAGCACTAAACGAAGGTGCTGTTCGTGTTCTTCTGGCGTCTTACTAAATACCAAAATGTCGTCTAGATAAACGACTACGAATTTGTCTAACCAGTCACGGAAAAGATCATTCATACAGCGCTGGAAGGTCGCAGGTGCATTTGTCAGTCCAAACGACATTACCACGAACTCGTAGTGGCCGTATCTTGTACGGAAAGCCGTCTTGTGCTGATCTTCGGGCTCTATCTCTATCTGATGATATCCCGACTTCAGATCTATTTTCGTAAAGTAGGTGCAACCCTGGACTCTATCCAGCAGGTCGTCAATCCGGGGCAGTGGTTCTGCATTCTTCACAGTCACTGCATTCAAGCCTCTATAGTCTACACACATCCGTAGTTCGCCCTCTTTCTTCGGGACAAACAAACTGGTGCGCCGTAAGGCGATGAGCTCGGTCTAGTCCATCCCTTCTCAACTAACTCCTCTAGCTGTCTACGCAGTTCGCCGAGCTCTAAACATCCGATAAACTGCACCCTTTGGGACTCTACTACCGGGTTCTATCTCGATCCGGTGGCGGATGTTCCGCTCTACCACGCTGGTAGGGGCCTCTTGGATGTCTGCGTACTCCTGCAACAGTTTCTCGACAGCGGATGGTGTCTCCTCTTCTACCTTTGGCTCGCTGTTGGCTGGTCTAACGTATGCTACGAAGACCTGGTCTGCCAACTCATGCCTTCTCACGTGCTTTGCGAATGCAGGTGCACTCATGCAAGTCAATGACAAGCGGGTTTCCAGTCCCGATCTGTGGAACATCCTCATCTTCTTCTTCCCGCCTGTAGGACTGGGTAGCCAGCACTCATGTTCACCACACTTTATATCTGCTTTCGCCGCCGTGGCCCAGTCCATACCGAGCAGCATGTCGAAAGGCAGGTTCTCTTCCACTAGGAGTGCAAGGGAGTGCAGAACTTTCTCTGCCTTCTCTCCCCCCTCTAACCGGAAGTATGCCCTTACCCCTTCAACACAATCTCTAATCACTATCTCGTGACCGTCTGCTACTTTCGTGGCTATTGGTTCTTCTAATCGCTGTACCTTTAAACTCAACCGCATCTTCTGCAGTCCCTTTCTACTAATATAGCTACGCGTGGAGCCGCTATCTAACAGCGCTCCTACTCTCTCGCGTCCTACTTCTATATCGGCTAACATTAGCTGTCCCTGCGCACCTTTCTTCATCGAGGCCCAGGCGCGGCGACGGGTGATCAGCTCGTCACCTATGCCTTTCAGGGGACCACCTAGTGAGGTTGTGCAACAAGCAACCTCAGGACAGCGAGCTAGGTGGGGGCCGTTATCAGCCTCTGCCATTGGGACCTGCGAACAGGAAGGTTGTGCGCGCTCTTCCTGTCTACCTTCGTTCGCAGTCCCAGTAGGAGCGACTGAAACTCCTACTGGCTGTTCCCTTTTGGGATTCGGTAGTCCGGACAAAAGGGAACAATGTGGGTGGGGTCCCCACACTTCAAGCACTGATCATTGCGCTTGCGTGCCGCCCATGTCTCATATGAGATCCCCATGGCAATCCATGGTTTCCCATCTTCTAATCCCGGGTGCTCGGGATATGGTCGGCTTCCTCTTCCTCTTCCCCCAAAGGACGAGCGTCCTCGGCCTCCCTGTGGAGGACCATAGCCCCTACCTCCCACGTAGCAACCCTGATCGTTGCCACCCCCCTGGTAGCCGCTCTGACGTCCCCGTCCTCGACCTCGGCTTCCTCTACCTTGGCCTCTACCCTGGTGCCCTCCCCCACGGGCTGCAACAGTCGTCCAGTCCCCTCCCTGGACCAGTTGACCGTCGCTGTCGGTGCCTGAACCGAACTCAATCTGTTCCTCTGGGAGGTGTTCTAGCCCCCCTTCCTCAAAAGTCAGTAACAGGCCATCCTTGGTCTGGACGCTGCTGGCGATAGTCTTTCCCCGCCACTTTCTCCCTCGTTGCAGGTCCTTCCAAAAGTGGGCATTTGCCTCACTCAGGAAGCCTGCCTGGTCTACGGCACGCCTGCGAAATTCTTCATAGGTCATGCCTTCCTCCTTGGTCAACGGGAAGAGGTTAGACTTCAAGGGCTCAGGAATGGCGCGTGCAAAGGAGTTAAGCAATTGGGCTGGCGTCAGTCCATTATCGGAGCATTGCAACAGCTCATCAGTATGGCGCTTGAGGGCGGAGGTATTTCTCCATGCCCCCTCGTGAAGATGCAGAATTGCTTCCGCTGTCTTGCGCGGAAGTGTCGGGTCTGTGAAACGGTGGTGCAGTGCGTCAAACATCCGTTTGACTGGGATTCCGTGGGACCAGTCAACGACAGACTCATATCCGTCCTGTCGCATTAATTGGAGGGTGTAGATCGCTGCGTGCCCACCTAAACAGGAATGGACAACTATGATTCGTTCTTCGGGTTCGATGCGCTGCCCGTACAGGTAAGTTTCCATCTGCGCCTGCCACTGCAAGTAATTCTCACCTGCGGCGCCTGTGTACGTCCACGGCGTCTTCATCTTCATCCTCTCTTTCTTCTCAAACCCCACTGTCGCAGGACCCATATCCCTTCTGATCCCTTCCTTCCGGTCATCTCCTCCACGTTCACCTCTCCCGACTCCTAGTTCTTTCTTCAACTTCAGAAATTCTTCCTCCATCTTTATCAGCACGCCATTTGTCACTGCTTCCCCAAATGTTAACGTCCTGTCATCCATCCTGCGATTAGCAGCAACCAAATAATTGTTCCAAGTAGATTGGAACTCCTCCTGGTGCGCTCTGACATCGGTCAGTGCCCGCTTCAGGGCGGCTAATTCAGCCGTTGTATACTTTATTGCCTCAGTCAGAAGGGCCTGTTGATCTGCTGCGGCCCCTTCTGCTGGTATTGCCCCCAACTTTTCACGGATCTGCGCTCCCTCCTTCTCCAAGCGCTCTTCCTCCACGTACTGCCTCCTTTTTGCATCCGTTGCCCTCTGTCTCTACCGCGTCACTCTCTCCTCCTCCAATATTTCCCTCATTCTATCATCCTTCGCCTCTTTTATGGCCTTCTCATGGGCCTCCTTTTCTTCTGCGGTTTCCTGTTCTGGGAGAAGGCTCCTTATGCCGAATTGCAACAGCCAATCACGATCCTCTTCCTCTTGTTTTGCTTCTGTTGCCTTCCCTTTCTCTATAAGGGACCGTCTCCTCCTTTCCAGGCTTTCAGTTTCTTCTTCCTCCTCCTCTTCATCTTTCCGCTTTAGCTCTTCTTCTTTCTTCTTCTTCAATTTCGCGATCTCCTCCTCTTTCTCTTTCTTTTTCCTTTCCCGCTCCTCCCGCTTCTCGGCTAATCTTTTGTCAATCTCGGCTTGCTCTGCCGGTGTGTATGGCACAGTACTCGTGCCCCCCTTTGTGGTCACGTGCGGGCACACCACTCTCGTGAACCCGAGCGGAAAGAACAGTCGCAGCAATGGCTGCCAGAGTACGGAGAACGTGAGCCAACCGAACATGGGGTAATCGTCCATGGCGCTGGCGGTACAGGCAAGTAAGGTAAGCTTCTTACCTCCACCGTCTTGACCAGCAATCACCCGGTCGACTTTGACCTAATCCTAACAAATACTGGGACCGAACTTTTTGTTGTGTGGAATGGGCGTCTGTCCTATTCCCCAGCTGTAGACTGACTCAGCAGCAAATCCCAGAAGGTTCCACAACAACCAAGCAATTAGCACAATCAGCATGCAACAAAGGCAAGGGGTAGATGCACTTCACTCAGTGGCCGCTCCGTCGATGACGTTTCTCCTCGAGCGCTCCACGGCAGGTACATAACCGCGACGATGCCTGTCACTCACCCCTTCTTCAATCCCAGAAATTTATTTAATTTTTTCAATGCGCCCGCCGGCCTTAATCAGCGCCGGTCAACTCCAAGCAAATGGCACGTCAAACAGCTTCCTCCTCACTTCGTCACCGCATGGGGTAACGGGAACCAGCTCTGATACCAATGAAATGATCCTCAACTTCTCAACTGCAAATTGCAGGAAACTTCACCCAACACTTCCGATTGCAAACACACACGAGAATCGGGTATCTGGACATGGTGAGCAAAACACAAATTATGTCGCAACTTCGTTGAAACTATTATACAGCAGCGAGGAGAATTGTCTGTCTCTTATACACATCTAGATGTGTATAAGAGACAGACTCTGGTCTTAGTCACCTCTCCCTGTCTACCCCGATTGCTCTTGTCCCTCTCTAATCCTAACTACCCCTAACCCGAAGATCCCCTGAATACCCCGCCTAATAGTTCTTCTCCACCATGCGGCTATGGCCGCTGATACTGGTTTCGTTCTTCCCTGCGCGCTATTCCCTTCAGCTGCGCTGATCCTCCCCTTGTTGCTAACGCACAAGCTTCAATGCTTCCGCGTTCCTGCCACACGAGCGAATGAGCCGCCAGTCCAACTTTTAGCCAAATATAGATTCACAGTTTCTTTGTTTCTCCCGTCCGGTACCGGTTGCCCTGGCCTTTGTGCCTCATCATTATGCTGCCCGTTGTTTCCGGATCTTCCTGGGATATGCTGCTTTTTGGACTTTGGATTTGGCCCCTGTTCTGTCGGGTACCGTTTTTGCCTTTGACCGTTGGTACCGACCCCTGTCCCTTTGACTTCGACCTTTCTGGCCTGTCTAACCGTATCTAGGGCTTAGGACCTACCCTACGTGTTGACCCCTTGAGTTGGCATTGCATTGTGAACCCTTTCAGCCACACTCTTGCCTTTTGTGAATGTCGTGAGCAGTGGACTCACGACATGCACGAAAGGCAAGAATATGGCGGTGTATCTTTCCATGTTCCAGCAATAGATTCATTCTCATTTTGCAAATTTGGTGAATAGTGGAGCGAGGCCCGTCGTACAGTCTACTGCCCCCGTATTCGCGCATCTGACAGTATCCCGCTGTCACTGTCGGCCTGTCGCCGAATATGCAGGCGATCGAATCTGCTATGGGCCTCGCTCCACTACTCACCAAATTTGCGAAAGGGGAATGAATCTTACACTGGAACACGAAAAGATACACTGCCATATTCTTGCCTTTTGTGCATGTCGTGAGCCCACTACTCACGACATGCACAAAAGGCAAGAATATGGCGGTGTATCTTTCCATGTTCCAGTGTAAGATTCATTCTCCTTTTGCAAATTTGGTGAGTAGTGGAGCGCCCTGCATATTCGGCGACAGGCCGTCACTGACAGCGGAACACTGTAGGGAGCACTTCTTTCCTTTTTTTCTTTTTTCTTTTTCTTTTTCCAAACAACGGAAAGCACGCGTTTCACCAGCAGCATGAGCGCTCGACAGTTCTGTACGTGTGATTCGTGACAAAAGAACAGTGATATCTTCGTCTTTTTTTTTTTTTTTCGTGAACTCTCAAATAACGCGATAGACTCCAGCCCGAAGCTGTGCCGACCCTGTGGGGGGCATCTTCTGGCATGCTCGGAGGTAAGACAAAAAGGCAGGAAAGGTACTGGCGGTTTAATTTTGCCTGAAACCAGGCTACCAGGGTCACCCAGGCCAACATGCAGCCGGGCATCCTAGACGCACCTGCCCAGCTCACCTGGGTAAGCCAAAAAATGAGTTTCAAAGAAATCGTGGGGCCATTTCTGCTCGCACTCATATCTGCCCAAATGCAGCCTTATCTTTGAAGTTGGTGACTTCTCACCATAGGGCGTCTAGGGTGCATAAAAGGGGTTTATTGAGGATCAAAAGCGTATGCTATGCTGTAATTTATGTTTTTTTTTTTGTTTTGTTTTTTTCCAAGTTAGTGAGGCACTCCGAAGTGACCCTCAGGCCAAAGTCGTTTGATTTCCAATCCTGCTGAGCATCGTTTTTGTGAACTTTTGAACAATTTCCCCCTTTTTTTTTTTTTGAGTTCTGTGCTGGGCTTTGCCCATATCTTACCCAGCTGGGCTGCCCAGGCAGTGAGAGGCAGCCTGGGCGATTTGGCTGGTATTGCAGGTCTGAAAGGTGATGGAAATAGTTGTCTATATCTGGGCAAAAGTTGCCTGCCATTTTCCCATACAGTATACATGGGGGTGCAGACACCATGCATGTTCCAGCTTATGTTGTGAAGTTGCAAAATGTGTCATCTCTCGTGAATTGCAGCTGCTTCGGGGAATCTCTGAGTACACTCAGGTTTGCTCAGCGGGCCAAGCGTATTCAGAATAAGGTGAGATGTCCATCAGACCTCTCTTAATCTGCTAGATGGTAAAGCGCTGTCTGACCATGTTCCACAAGATGTGTGATATTTGTTAACTTATTTCCCATAAAGAAGCGTATGCATGGATGCATGTGTGTGTGTGTGTGTGTGTGTGTGTGTGTGTGTGTGTGTGTGTGTGTGTGTGTGCGTGTGTGTGCGTGTGCGTGTGCATGTGTTGCAAAATAACCACAAAATATACCTAACTTGCCTGAAAATCCAGAGAGTTTTAAAATGCGTGCAAGGGTGGCTACATAGTACATACGTAGATGGGAGCACCAAGTGCACACATACTGACTGCCTTAATGACACACTTGCGCAGTCGAAAAGAGGATGGCCTGGAAAAAATGGATATAATTTACCAACCTTTGCCCAACATCTGAAGTAAAAGTAAGTACAATTTGTCAATTAAATGACACACCGCAGACAAACAAATTTAATAGGCGGGTCTTCAAGCTTGTATTCCCCCAGGCTAATGCTGGCGTCAGCCTCAGATGATGTTACCTTCTCATCTTCTTTCCCCCCTTCCTCCATGTTTTTGTCGTGCCATCCTTCTCCTTCACTCTCAGAGTCATCACTTCTGAAGTATGCGTCCCAATCCTTTGCACACGCCCTTGACTCCAAGTCGTCGTCCCCTCTCAGAATTCCTGCTGTCCCCAGCTGAGCCACTGCGACAGCCATGAGTTCCACTGGAATGCCTGATCCTGCCAGCGTGCTGTAAGGGATTGCTGTAACAGTCCTCCATGGCCTCCATCTCATTCCGCTTTTCAGTTTAGCATCTTCTGACAATTTAGCAATGATTGGGGAAAAGGCTCGTGCGGGGTGTCGCTCAATGATCCGCTTGGGAAGAGGTACTCCCCTGCCCATCTTCCAAAGGGAATGTTTCGAAGACTCCTAGGGGCGACCCTTCCGAGACTTTTTCCTGCAGGATCTTGGCGACATTTTGCCCTTCATCCACTCTTGGAATTGTGAAGGATACATCTGTTGCAATCTGCCATTCACCCTAGTTTTCCACGAAACGGGCCGCTATTAGCGGCCTGATGTCCATCAGGGTCAGTCTCGCTGATTTCACAGATGCCACCACGGGCGGAGCCTTTCCATCAGCAATGTGCTGGGTGGTGGTGAACTCTGGAGCTTATTCTGCATTTAACTTCGTTAATTTCTCAGTCTGGGTCACAATCACCACCACTTCTTTTTCTAACATTGACCTTGTTGTTTCCTCTTCGGTCTCTGGCTGTTCTGCGCTGGGCTCTTTCTTCTTCTGTTTTTTTCCGGTCTTCCATTTCTTTGGGCGGAGGTCGTGGAAATGATCCTTAGTGTTGGGGGCCATTTTGTCCTTGTCTGTTACCCCTTGTTCTCTTGCTCTCTTCTTCTCTTGATATCTGAACGCTGTGTATTCTGAAAATTCTTTCGTCTTGACTATTGTCAGCGATTCAAACTGGTTTTTTGAGCTCTCAATTCCTGCCACTGTGCCCTTCTTTCCATTTCTCTGTGTTCTTTCCACGTGCTTCAGACACGCTGTTCTGATCTCAAACGCGTGTTCTCTTTCCTTCTTCGCTTTCTCAATATACTCCCTCAGCCAGTGGAGGGACCGATTGGCTTCGGATTCCATGTCCGTGCCTGTTTCCCCTGTCTCTTCGTTGTCTTTCCCAGCTGTGCTACCCGTGGCTCCCACAGCTGGGTCAGAAACCGTGTTTCCTCCCTCTTCGGTGTTTGGCAGTTCCATTCCTTTGTCCGTTGCCTTTCTCTTCTTGGTCCCTTGGGAGTCTCCTGTTCCCCGTGAGCGCTTGTTGACTGTGTGGGGTTTCACCTTCCCCCGGATAGCCTCTTGTTCCGCTTGTCTCAGCGATTCTTTGAGGGCTGCCGGGTGTTTGCTGTATTCCTGCTCAGCCTGTTCCCTGACTGCGTCCGGGTCCCACAACAGGTCTTCCCTGGATTTCTCCTCTCTTACCACTCGGGAGTCAATCAATGGGTTCGTGTTTATCTTTGTTGGGTTCCCTGTGACCTTTCCTGTTGCCTTCTTTTGCCATCTACTGTCCGTGGGGGGGAAAATGTTTGGCTTCTTTACAATTGGATCCTGATCTGCATAATGCCAAACCCAATCTGGGTCGTCCAGATTGTCATAAAAAACCCAGCCATCGTAGTTGGAATCGATGATGAACCAGATACCCGGAGCATCCTCGACTTCCACTAGCATGTTTGGGTGTAGTTTCCGATCCTTCGGTTGTTTGGGGAATTTTGGGCAATTCGGATCTGTTCCCATGTGGCCACGTTCCCTACATCTGAAACAGATCGGAGATGTCTTGGTGGAAACCTTGACGTCCAGCACTCTGC